GCCGCCCCAGCAGGGGTCGGCGGATGATGAACTGTAGTTTGCTATAGTATATTGCCGCATATCAGTATGTTATGGTATAATATCGTATCGTATAGTATCGTATGGTATATTCTACTCTGAGGCGTGGTAGGCGTCGAGATCACAGGCACAGGGGTCTAGGGTTTAGGGGTGTGCGTGCGCGCGCGCGCACGCGCGCGCGCGCGGGTGTGTGTGTGTGTCTCTGTGTGTGTCTCTGTGTGTGTCTCTGTGTGTGTCTCTGTGTGTGTGTGTGTCTGTGTTTTCGTTTGCAAGCCGCTAGGATGGAGTTTCAGGTTGATCGGGATAGCAGCATGAGGGCATGAGGGCTTCTTGATCTTGGGGCTCCCTTCTGTCCTTGTGCTTGCTTTTTTAAGGATCCTGGCATTAGGTCTGCATTGGCCCCCTCCCCCCCCTATTCTCTGAAGTCCCGCATCCTGCTCCGAGAATCTGCAATCGGATTTTCCAAGCCAGGGCTCCCGGAATTTGTCCGAAAAAAGCTGCAGATCCGACTTGCTTTCATCCTAGCCCCGATAGATCGGTTTGTCCTAAACCTCTAGCTCCATCCCAAAGTCTACACCTCAGGTTCTTAAGCCCCTACGTACATCTTGATTGCCTAGGTCCCTGACTTCAAGCAGAGAGTGATCCACGAGCCCGGCACTTCCGCCATCTCCAAGAACATCCCACTCTCTGAGGCCGGTGCTCAGGGCTTGTATATGGGCTTTAGGGCCTATAGGGTTTAGGGTTTTAGGGTTTAGGGTTTAGGGTTTTAGGGACTAGTTTATATAGGGCTTAGCTCGGTTGTAAACTGGGTTTTGGGTTGAGAGTTTAGAGTTTAGGGATCATGGAAGAGAGTCCAGGGGGCACGGTGCTCTCGCCGTTCTTCTCTCTGGTTAGCCAATAGCTTCGCCAGAACCCTACGAAAGCCCTCAGCCCTAAACCCTAAACCCTAAATCCCCAAAAGCCTAAGACACATGGAAGAGTTTAGGTGGAGTGCAGGATTCAGCGTTTAGCCAAGGCCCCGAAGCCCAAAAGGCCTTTTCAGCCGAAGATCCTGAACCCTCGAAGCAGTAGAGCCCAATGAAAGGGTTCCGTAAAAGGGTTCCTTTAATTAAACGGGTTCCTTTAAAGGGTTCCCTTAAAGGGTTCCTTTAAGGGTAAGGTCCTATAAAGTCTAGGAGTTTAGGGGTTGGGCTTGAACCTCACTCTTCGGAAGCCTCTTGGGCTTGCTTGAGGTTGGCCTAACCTGTTCGAAAGCCGAAGCGCCCTGGAAGCTCTAAACCTTTGATGCTTACTCTTACCACAGCCAAAACTTAATAATTAGACTAGGGCTTTTGGGGGTTTATTGTACGATTATTATAACTTATAACAAGGAACACCCCAAAATAGTACAGGTAATTATTGAGGCCCCTATACTAAGATCAACTTTAACTATTGCTGTGCCCCTATACGCTCTGAACCGCTGATGCACTTCTGCCCAGGTGAACCGTCATTGCACGCCTGAGAACTGCTGGGTGGCTCTGAACGGCAAGGTGGGCTTTGCTGTCTGGAGTTCCGGGAGTGAGGGCTCGCAGAGTTCAGGACAGCGTCAACACCGGCCTCGGGGCACATTGCGGTTATGATCTCGGGCTATGCTGGGTCTGCATGTCAAGAACAAGACACGGTGTACACCCAAGCGGATGTAGCAAAAATGCTGGGCTTGTTATATCACGACTCGTCCAAAACCCTAAAAACACCCAATCCCCCAAAACGCAGCATCCTTGCAGGTCTATGACCTCTCGGAGTTCATGGATCGTCATCCCGGTGGCCCCACGACCATCCTTGCCTGGGCGGGGAAGGATGCCTCGAAGTTCTTCAACGACATCCACAAGGGCGTAAAGACGCTCGGCTTGGGCTTTTGCGGAATTCGTAGGTCGTGAGTAAGTGAGCGAGGCAGAAAATCAGCATTCCTGTCCGTCTATCCGTGGGTCCCTGATTCCACCGCATCTCTGCCTGTCTCTCTTTCTCTGCCTGCCTGCCTGCCTGGATGTATGTAGGTATGCATTGTATGTATGTACTGGTTATCAACCTAAACCCTAAACCCTAAACCGTATTGGTTTATCTCCAACTGCATTTTCAGCGGCCAAGGATCGACGCCTACTTGCGACCGGAGGCCTTCTTGGGCGACCTGGGCGTGGACGAGAACCTGATGTCGGACCAGTTCTGGCACACGCTGCGCGAGGCCCCTTTCTTTTGGGGTGAGGGAGCAAAGTTTGGAGTTCAGGGCGATTCTGGGAGTTTCAGAGCCTCAGGGTGCCTGATTTGGGGAG